CTGGGGAGCTTTAACAAGTTTTTAGTAGGTGGGAAAGGAAAGAAATCCAAGCAACCTCTCACAAGAGAAGTTGTGACTCAAAGGGGAACAATAGGTACTTCAGTGTCGATACTGCATTTCCTGCTACCTTTTTAATAAGGGATGGGCATTGAATCATCTACCATGTTTTTAAAAGAAAAAAGGGGAGGGGTAAAGCATGGCAGGGTTCACAGAGCGTGGGAGTTGCTGGCTTCTGTCCGTTTCATGGGGATCAGTGAGCCCAGCAGTCGGCACAACCGCTCACAGCTCACTGGTGAAAGCAGAAGGCACACATCTAATGTATCTCAAACAGCTAGAGCCAATAATATAGAAATATATTCAAGCTGTTCACATGCAGCTTCCCTTGGAGACATACTTGACTATTGATTATTGTAAAAGACTAATAACATAGCAAGAGCTTTATGGCCAGTGTCGCATCATTTGCTATTTAAGTTTTGTTGCCATATTTACTTTTATTTTGTAATAAATATTTTGCAAAAACTACACTGCATAGTGTGCTGTGCTAACATGTGTGGCAGTAGCTGTTGCTTCCCGGTTACTTTGCGCGCTCTGCCTTGCTGGATCTGCTGGGCATCCGCTGGCACAGGCTAGCTGGGGGGGTCGCCCCGGCCACCTCCCAGCCCTGCTGCCAGAGTGGGACGCTTTGCAGCACGAGCAAGAGTCCCCAGGGGCAACAGTGACAGCCTGGCTTGTGCAAACTGAAATCGTGGTCTGTCACCGAAGCTGAATCCGCCTGCAGCTCCCCCTCCACGACCAGAACTTGCTGTCTGAATCACTTAAGAAAAATACTAGCTCCACATATGGCTTTGCTGAATATTAAGATGTTTGCCATTTGGAAGAGGCAATGAGTTGTGAGGTGATACAGTCCACTGAGTTATTCAGCAGTAGGAAGCCTCACGATAGTGGAAAACTACGTGTAAAGTGGCAGATGAAGCTTGGTGTGAATAAATATAACAGGAGGAAAAACAGTCCTAACTGCATCCCTTCAGGGAAGAGCTCTTCGAGAGGGAAGAGCTCCAAGAGTTATGACGGAGTCCTATGCAAACATCACCCAATGCCCAGTGGCAGTCCCCAGAAAAGCACACGTGAGAATGACAAGGACTGCATCAGCAGAGGGAAGCTTGTTCCAGCCTTGACAATTTGGAAGTGACCATGGAAAAAACCTCCCAAGGAATTACTCTAATCTTTTCGTATCCAGTTCCTATAGAGATCCTACATTTGATCGCATTTACACTGTGCTGGCAGAATTCCAGCAGCATCAGCCGAGTGAGCTAATTTACTCCTGCCTAAGCAGAATCAAAGTCAAGCTCTGGCTCTGACAGGCGTTAAGACCTGTGCTTTCAGCAGAACTTGTTAAGCAAGAATTCCTAAGGATTTTATTCATTTTCCCGTATTTCAGCAACGTTTACAGTGGAAGATAATTTTTCTTACTGACAGTTGGGATATAAGAGCTTTTTTGTGTACAACAAAACTCTGAAGCGTGTCTTTGATTATAGCAGGATTAATTAAATTAATTACTCCAACGTTGCCTATAACCCACATTAGATAAGTTAATACACATTATTTCATTAGGTCTTTCCACACTACTCAGTTCTGAAAAAATGGCAAACTTTTGTTATATCTCAGCAAAAAAAACCCAACACCCGGTATCTTTACTGACTGAAACTGAATTTAGGATAAGGAATACCTTAGCTGGTACTGCCAAAGCGTGATGTGTTTCCTCTTCAGAACAGTGAATGAACAGGTGACATTCGTTCCAGCATTTGATCAAAATGTTTCAGGTTTTCTTTCCTACGCAGCTGGTATGACTTCCCGAGGGCCATGTCCAAGGGCAAGAGAGGCTTGCAGGGCACCAGCACTTTGCCAAGGGAAGTGGCACATCAGTAAGGGTGTGAAAGCTCCTCAAAATATTCAGAAAACATTGCTGAGGCCAGCCTGGTTTTCTTAATGACCACCAATGGTTTTCCCCTGACCACCAACAAAGCAACCTGACTTTGAAGTGGATGGTGAAACATACCCTGGGAAAACTCTGCCCAGGAGCGGCAGACCTCCCTGCTGCGGGGGGCTGTCCCACCGCCCAGCCGGGCTACAGCAAACAGCACGTGCCCAACAGCCCCAACGCCGCCCGGGAGCGGTTAACTGCAGGCAGCGACACCAATGACGAAGAGTTGTGCCTATGAAGCAGTTTTTCTGTTGAGTTCAACAACTACATTGTTAACAATTGACCCTAAAAAAAAAATATCCACTTGAAACACCAAGAAAAACGCAAAAACTCCTACGGACTGACGGATTTTTAGCAAGAGTACGGCATAACTTGTGTGGTGTCCACCTGCTGCTGTGCTGGTGTCAGGCTGCGTGCTGTTAGGACGGGCACTTGCCTCCGAAGCGAAAGCTGTGGCACTACCAGGATCCGCACCAACCGCCCACAGACCGCCCCGGGACCCCGCGGCCGCGGGCAGCTACGGACACCAGCGCCCGCTGCGCAGCGTGTCCCACCGCCGCACTAATACCCCCGGCTGCACCTCAACATACTCCTTCCGTTTTTAAACATGAGTAAGACTTACTTTGTTGTAGAACTCACGTGCTTCTAAGACAACGGCAAATCCTTACACAAAGCCCAGATAACGTAGCACATGTGCGTCATCCTAAGGTGACTCTACAGCCTGTGCTCGCTTGCAAACCACGTACCTGAAGAGC